TAGTGATACTGCCTCGGAAACCCAAGGAGGGGTCGCTATGAGTTGGGGCCGACTCGACGGCATATAACAACAACAACAACAAGAATCAGGGATATTAAATTCAAAATTGGATATCTGCCTTGATTGTATCTAAATCTGAAATTACTATATTCATTTTTTTTTTTTTTTTCCTTCTAAGGACAGCACTCTAAACTTGACCCTTTTTCTTCTGTCTTCTTCTAAGGTGTTGTATGTGTTCTCTAATTTTTATTCACTAAGAATTGCTACTCCCTTAATTCCTGTTTCAACACTGCTACCTAAGTGCTACAGTGTTATGTAGTGTGGTGCTGATATTAATAATGGGTACAATATAATCAGTACTGTGCGTTTAGAGTCAGCAACAGGAGGAAGAAGTTGCTATATATCTTATCTAGAAAACATGTGAACCACTAGTAGTTCTAAGTTCACTCAATGTTTAATATCGCACATCATGTCTCCAGGGGCACACAGCTCAGAGGCAATAGTCATGCTAAGTTTGGAATAGATATTTTTAAGATATCAGTGACACTTATAACTAGGTTTTTTTTTTTTTTTTTTTCTTGCTATTCCTTTCATACCAAACTCAAATAATGGCAGCAACAGAGTTTTATTGAAATAACATCACAAAACCATAAAGGATCTTTTATAATGTATAAAAGATGTATAATATATACATATATAATGCATAAATCTTTATAAAGAATTCAAATGTCTTCTTAAACAAAGTATAACAACAACAACAACAAAAGAATAAGTGTTTAAAAGACATAATCTAAAAGAAGCTAGATAGATGATGATAGCCTCATCACAACCTAACGACACTTATTTTTCTACGTGGAGTATGACTTTAAATTAATTTGTTACATTTATTAAATCACAAAGCAAAGTTCTAGGATCATGGAAAATCAGAAAAAGAGAAAATCAGTAGTGCAGATTTCAGTATAAGCCATGTTGTTGTTGTTGTGTGCCGTCGAGTCGGACCCGACTCATAGCGACCCCCCCTTGGGTTTCCGAGGCACTATGACTAGGGAAGTAGATTGCCCAACCTTCCTTCTGAGGAGTGGCTGATGGGTTTGAACTGCCAGCCTTCTGGTTAGCAGTCAAATGCCTTAGGTACTACGCTACCAGAGCTCCCAGTATAAGCCATATCATGACTTAAATAAATTGTTGGTTGCAAGTCCTTGGGGGGAGGGAGGTAAAGAAATTTAAGGCATTGTCATTTCCATGAAAGCAGCTGCTATATTTCAATAAAATAAGACCCTTTTAAGATCTGCAAACTGTATTCTACATAATTCTATATTCACTTATATTCTACAGATATTGAAACATGGTATTCTTCATATATACACAGTTTTTAAAGTTATTTTAGTTAGAAACCAACAAAATATTGTTCTAAATTTATTACTAAGGTAAAAAGAAATATTTATCTTCTTGACTACTCTTCTTAGTATAAAATATTATGAGCCTGCCTAAAGATTTCTGTCTCTTCTATATCAAAACAAATTGTACTCATATTCCAACTTAGCTATGATCTGTCATTTATTTCAATAGGAGTCCTTTTGAATTTACAAGTGGTTCATGTTTAATGATATAGCAACAAAATTAACTACAAAAGAGAGAATAATGCTTTCCATTATCATACAGCTACAACATTCCCTCTGACAAACATTTCTATCCTAGAAACAAACTTGATCTAAAACCCCCCAGCATTTTGAGGATACACATAAAAATAATTTAATAATATGATTACCTTTATTAATTATTTACTTTATTTCAAATAATTTCATCTCTTTAATGATAATGCAATTGTTTTTCATTTAAGAGTTGATAACCTATCATAAGCTGAAACGTGAACTCAAAAATGAACTTGAATCATTGTTGTTTCACTATAACTTGTTACAGTCATAAAACATTTGAGAGTTGACATCTAAACCATTTGCAAGAATTGTGACTTACAAAGACAAACAGCCATCAATAAATATCACGGATTATTAACTTTAACAGCTTCTCAGACTCACCTCAAGCTCAGGGCCAGCAGTTGCTCCTTTGACTTTAAAAGCTCCCCGACTTTAAAACTGGCATAGCCCAAGAAGCTTCGCTGAAAATGAGAGAGAAGAATCGTTTTCATTAATTTCCGGAGTTCTTAATAATTCTGCTGTCGCACCAATCACCCAAAATTAGTCTTTAGAAGAATGAAATATTAAATCTATCAGACTGACAAATATTTCGTGCAGAAATACAACTAATAATATAACCACCCCATGGAGTGGGGTTGAAGGGCACAGACGCATCCTTTTCATTAAAAACAGCCAGAACTTTTCCACTGTCATTTTCTCCCAATATAAAAACTGAACTACAAGGAACTATGATAAACTTTCAATATTCACCAATGCTGTCGTTCTATTAGAATTCCTCAAATCACTGGCAGCAACAACTTTGTATTCTAGATATGAGCAAATCTGTTGGTTGGAGCTATTTTTATGTGGGACTCTGTACAAGTTATAAATAGAAATGCTATATTTCTCCCTGATCACAACAACATTTAAAAGCATTTGTTTCCTTTGTTATTTCTATACTAGCATGGAACAATTTCATTCCAGCACAAATTAAAAAAAAAAAAAAAAAAAGGTACTTATCCAGCTACATTTTCTAAAATAGCTTAGCGACCAATCATATAGAGTGTTGGCTATCTAATGAACATCTACTTTCTGCACTCTTTGACTCATAATGTAAAGAAGAAAATTCTAAATTTAATATCTTTTCAGTAGCCCTTGCTACTTCTGATTCAAAGATCATAATCTTATGGTATATATAAATAAGATTTCTCATTCATCCATCAACATCAAAGGGTAAACATGAAAATAGAAAAAACATATTATTAACTATGCTATTGCTGCCTAACACAGTATAATACTCTACAAAGGTCAATGTTACGTCTTCCAGAACATTCTCTCTTCACAGGTCTGTTGCCAGGTTGTGCTTGAATGAGTACCTGGACTGAAGGAATATGAGGCCAATTATGCTTTTTTTCATGGGAAATTATGCAGTTATTCCATACATAAAAGGCTGAGTTTACACTGAAAGATTTTTGAGCATAAGGAAGAAAAGCTTTAGGTCAGAATTTTTCTCTCTCTTTTCAAAGTTCCAACTTAGAAGAACTGGTTCAGAAAGACTCAAACAATCAAAATAATAGAAGTAGGAGATGTCCCTAGGCAATTACTCATAAACTCAATGATGTAACTTAACACTCAAAGAAAGATTTAGACTCCAAGTTACCATAGCCAGAAGAATGTGAGATTAAAATACTAGATTAAAAACAACATTTGGTAAATATAGAGGGTTTGTGGAAATAAATACACTCTCATGATAAGTTGATGGGTGAGAGTATATGAAGACAGAGAAGGACCTGTGAGAGCTGTATGAGCAAAGCCTGCAGAACTTAGAGCAGCTTTTCTGCAAGGGGAAGTAACAAGTGTTGAGATGAGATCCAGCTCCCCAAGGGCATTTACTGATCGCATCAGAGATGCCTTCTAGAAGAGCCCTGTGTAAAAGAACATCTCTCCCCACGCACACACCTGTCATTCTCTCTTCCTTACCCTGCTGTATTTTTCTCCATTGGCACACCACTACTGTTTTCTCAAAAATTGATATTTGAAGATCTACACTAAATTTTATTTTGCTTACTGTTAAATTGCCACTGACTAGCACACAGTAGGCAGTCAATAAATATTTACTGACAATTAAAGAATGAAGAGCATAGACACTTGTTTTCAAAGAAGCATTCCAGAAGATATGGGAGAAATGCTTTTATTTTTTTCACATATACTTATAAACTACTGTAATATACTGAAATGTGGAAAATCAAAATGATTACACAGTGGGTAGATTTTACATTCTTGCAGTGAATATCACCCTAGCATTTTATATTCTAAAGTGGTATCTATCTTACCTCATTTTTCACTAACAATCAAGATCTGAATTGTAAATTCCCACTCCCTACTAATCATCCCCAATCAAAGAAAAGTCTTAACTAATAAGAAATCTCACAATGTCCACATTTCAAATTATTTAGTCTTTGGCTTTTGAAAAGTAGAAGATACAGATAGTTTTAGAATTAGTAAAACACAACTGCACATGTCATGATAGAGTTGTGGTTTTCTGCCAATCAAAACAGCAAACACCCAGACTGGAATGTAGCAGTGGCAGACAGGTGGAACAGCTATTTTCAGACATCAGCTACAGACACATATGAGGCACAGCTGCAAGTAAAGTGTATAACCACATGTCACTGAATGTCTGTCCTCTCCACAAGACTAAGATTTCCTGTGGAACCAGGGCCTTGGCTTGTCCATTTTACAAAGCCCAGTGTTTCAAACAGAAGGGCCATGTAATAAGCTTCCTGCTGAACTGGACATGTAAATAGTGTACCAAGAACAAAGGTCATGAGTTAATCTTTTACATCACAAATGTCAGCTCCATGCTTGATCTCAAAGGATAATATGGGCTTATAGAAATAATCTCTTAAAATCATTTTTCATAATGGAATTATTACACTATATTGTGAAAACTTGTCAAACCAGAAGTGCTACGAGGATATAAATATTCTTTTATTCATATTGAAAAATAACTGCACATTGGGACTACCATTCCATAAACTGCACTATTGATTAAATCAGAAATTTTAAAGAAAATATAGGATTTTTTCAAATTGCAACACTAAACAATGAAGTTGCCTTAACAATTATTTTATAGCTAATATTTGTTTGTTTCCACTACTCATCTGTCAGTTCGTCATACAGTGGTGGCTTGGTGTTGCATGAGCCTGGAGGCTATGCCACCGATATTTCAAATACTAGCCAGGTCACCGCTGGAGGACAGGTTTCAGTGAGCTTCTAGACTAAGACAGACTGGGAGGAAGGATGGGGTCATCCATTCTTAAAGAACTGGCCAGTGAAAACCCTATTAATAACAGTGAAACACTGTCTCATATATTACTGGAAAACTTTACGAATAGCCCTGAAACATTGTGTGATATAGTGCCAGAAGATGAGCACCTAACTTTGGAAGGCACTCAAAATATGCTGGGGGAAGAGCTGCTTCCTCAAAGTAGAGTTGACCTTAATGACATAAATGGTGTAAAGTTTGTGGGACTTTCATTTACTGATAGGGTATGACTCAAAATGGGAATAAACAGCTGTAAACATTCATTAATAATTGGAACATGGAATTTAATAGGTATGAATCTAGGAAAATTGTAAGTTGTCAAAAATGAAATAGAATACATAAAGATAGACCTAGGCATTAAATGCATAAAGATCTTAGGCATTAGTGAGAAAAATAGACTGGTATTGGCCATTATGAATCTGATAATCACACGGTCTACTATTTCAGGAAAGACAAATTGAAGAGGAATGATATTACACTCATTATATTAAAAAAAAAAAAATCTTAAAATCTATGCTGAAGTACAATGCTGTCAGTTTTAAGATAACATCAATACAGCTACAAGGAACACCAATTAATACTACTATTATTCAAATGTATGCACCAGCCATTAAAGCTAAAGATGAAGAAATTGAAGATCTTTACCAACTTCTGCAGTCTGAAATTGACCAAGCATGCACTCAAAATATACTGATTACTACTGGTGATTGGAATATGAAAGTTGGAAACAAGAAAGAATCATCAGTAGTTGGAAAATGTGGCCTTGGTGATAGAAATGACACCTGTCATCACCTAATAGAATTTTCAAGACCAATGACTTATTCATTGCAAATAAAATTTTAAACGATATAAATAGTGATTACATATGTGGATTTAGCCAAATGTAACGTATCGAAATCAGATCAATTCCATCTGTGGAAAGAGGCGATGAAGAAGCTTAATATCTTCAGCCAAAACAAGGCCAGAAACTGATTATGGAACAGACCATTAGTTGTTTGTAAGCAAGGTCAAGCTGAAGTCGAAGAAAATCAAAACTAGTCCATGCGAGTCAAAATATGACCTTGATTATATCCCACTTGAATTTAGAGACCATCTGAAGAATAGTTTTGATGCATTGAACACCAATGACTGAAGACCAGACGAGTTGTGGGATGACATCAAGAACACCATAAATGAAGAAAGCAAGTGGTCATTAAAAAGACAGAAAAAAAAGAAAAGACCAAAATGGATGTCAGAAGATACTCTGAAACTCTATCTCTAATGTAGAGTAGCTAAAACAAATGGAAGATATGATGAAATAAGAAAGCTGAACAGAAGATTTCAAAGTGAAGCTTAAGAAGACAAAGTAAAGTATTATAATGAAATGTACAAAGACCTGGAGTTAGGAAACCAAAAGATAAGAAAACTCTTGGAATTTCTCAATCTGAAAGAACTGAAAAAAAAAATAAAAATAAAAATTCAAGCCTTGAGACGTTATATTGAAGGATTCTGTGGGCAAAATATTGCATGATGTAGAAAGTATCAAAAGAAGATGGAAGGATTACACAGAGTCACTATACCAAAAAGAATTGGTCAATGTTCAACTATTTCAGAAGGTGCATATAATCAAGAACCAATGATACTGAAGGAAGAAGTCCAAGCTGCACTGAAGGAACTGGTGAAAAACAAGGCCCCAGGAATTGACGGAATATCCATTGAGATGTCTCAACAAATGGATGCTGTGCTAGAGGCACTTCCTCATTTATGTCAAGAAATTTGGAAGACAGCTACCTGTCCAACTGACTGGAAGAGATCCATATTTGTGATCATTCCAAAGAAGGGTGATCCCAAAGAATGTGGAAATTATCAAACAATATAATTAATATCACACACAAGTAAAATTTTGCTAAAGACAATTGAAAAACAGTTGCAGCAGTATATTCACAGAGAACTTTGAGAAATTCAAGTTGGATTCAGAAGTAGATGTGGAAAAACAGATAACATTGTTGATATCAAATTGATCTTGACTGAAAGCAAAGAATATCAGGAAGATGTTTATCTATGTTTTATTGACTATGCAAAGGCATTCAACTGTGTGGATCATAACAAATGACAGATAACATGGTAAAGAATGAGAATACAGAACACTAAATTATGTTCATGAGGAACCTGTAC